AGGTGCTATTGCAGTTTATAGATGCTCACGAGTTGTAGAACAGACAAAGATCCCTACTGAGTCTGTAATTGTCACATTTGCCGGGTCGATTCGCCCCACTGAAATCAAGGCGTGGCCTTTAATATTCAGAGTCGAACAACTGTCACCTCGTCCCCTCCAGTGTCAGAAATGTTGGCGCTATGGACACACTTTAAAAGGATGTAGGTCAGCTCCCAGATGCCGAAAATGTGGTGAGGCACATACTGCAAATGAATGCAATTGTACTGAAGAAAAGTGTTGTCTTTGTCATGAGCAGCACTGCGCAGATAACGCTAATTGCTCAGCCAAAGCGCGGGAGACTCAAATTATGGAAATTGTTGATCGCAGACGCTGTTCACGAAAAGACGCCATCGCTGAAATTCAGGCAAGAACCCAGGGATATGCTTGTGTTGCAGCCCGACATAATGCAACTTTAGAAGCTTCTCTTTCAGTGTCCATTGCAGACATGATTGAAAAAGCGATGGAGAAAGCTATAGATCGCCTGGCCACCACCCTTTGTGACTCCTTATCTCATATTGTAGCCACTCAGTTGACGCAAATATATGGGACACCAAGAGATATGAAGGATACTTCCCAAGACAACGTAACTCTCCCACCAAGTGAAGCAGACGCAGAGTCATCTCCTTCAGGGGTTCAGGCTGCAGGGCCCTCTTGTACAGACAACCAGAGGATAGGTGAAGACATACTAGAGGATGGTCAGGATTATGATGATATGGACATGGACATCAAATCCCTAAAGCGCACTCGATCCCCTGTCTCCAAAAATACTGGCTCTTCAAAACATTCAAAAAACAAAAAATACCAGAAGGAGAACCTATCGAAGAGCGATTTTCTTAAAGACAGCATTTTAGATAAGGTAGTTGCCGAAACAATTCTGTCAAAATGATAGGTTCTATCAAAATTCTTCATTGGAACTGCCGATCTATTCATTCAGCTAGTACAGATTTATTGTATTTATCTTGTAAATTCAATCCAGACATTATTGCACTGCAAGAAACGTGGCTGTCAGCACATAATTCGTTTTACCTACCTAATTTCCGGTCTTTTCGCCTGGATCGCCCATCCAAAGGTGGAGGTTTAGCGTTCTTTGTCAATAATAAAATTAGTTCAAAGATCAAAACTTCGTACAAAAGTATATCCCCCGAATGTGAAATTTTCGCTTTAGACATCACCTTGCCTGGATGCTCTCCCTTCTCTCTGGTAAATCTTTACTTTCCTCTGGGTGTACAAGACACGCGATGTTTAGACATGGCTGTTAATTCGTGGTGCACAGAAAAAATTATGGTTGGAGATTTTAATTCTCACCACACTAGTTGGGGTTTTAGGACTGATCAATGTGGACAACGCTTGTGGGACTGGTCTATAGACCATAATTTATCATGCCTCAACGCTAGAACTCCCACATTTATCCGAGACCTATCCCGCTCTGCCTTAGATTTGAGTTTTATAAGCTCGGGTATTTCTAGCGTATCTTGGACTACTCTAGACTGCGCCACCAACAGTGACCACTTACCAGTACTGTTTGAAATTTCTTGCCCCATTATTCCATCTTACTCCCAAGCTCGAACCTTTATCAATTATTCCAAATTTAAAAATGACCTAGAAGTTGCTTTGACTACCCCCACTGAAGACAACGATGAAAATAAAGCCATGAAATTAAGTGCGGTAATTAAAAGAACGTTCAAAAAAGCAGAATTTTCTATTGAGTCTGATACGAGAAAGCCTTGTAGTCAGTGGTGGAATTCTGAGTGCTCTCGTGATCATAGACGACGACAAGCGGCTTGGAAGCAGCTAATTCATAATCAGTCCCCCAAAAATTGGGCAGATTACAAGTTTATTGCTGCTACATTTAAGCGCACCGTGGCTAAAGCTAAAGAAGACTATGACAAAAAACATTTCGACTTTCTTTCCAAACCTAGAAATAAGAAAGCGTTATTCCGATATATGAGATCGCGCAAAATTCTGCCGTCTCTAGCTAACTCTGATTATGACAGGTTATCGACGGAAGAAATGACTAATTCGTTAGAGGCAATCGGAAGAGGTTTAGCTAACAGATTTTCGTCGACTTTGACAATCAACTGGCAAAAGTCCTCTATAAGACTGACTACGAAAAAGTGACATTGTCCGAAATGTCAAGCGTAATTAGAAACTTACCCTCTTCGGCTCCTGGTCCTGACGGTATAACAGTTCCTATGATTAAAATTTTATTCCAGATATCACCCGGCGACGTCCTCAACCTTATAAACTATTCCTTAAGCAATGCCTGGATACCACATGACTGGAAAATAGCTAGAGTGATTCCCATATTAAAAAAACAAGGGTCAGGTTTTAACATTGACAACATCAGACCAATCTCTCTAACATCTCACCTGATCAAAATTATAGAGAGAGTTCTCAATAATAGAATAAAAGTTTGGATGGCTGACAAGCTAATATTGAAACCATTTCAAATAGGTTTTCGTAGCGAATGCTCAATTTGGTGTGCTCATGCCGACTTAGAGAGCCGAATACAGCTTGCCCGAAAAAGACGACAATACGCGGTACTAGTAACACTAGACATAGCTAAAGCTTATGATAGCGTTGAGCACTCAATTTTATTGAATTCTTTACACGAATGTGACTTTCCGCGATATATTGTTGATTGGGTAGCAGAGTTTCTAAAATCGAGAGAATTTTATTGTGCAAAGGATGGATGTCACTCATCTAAATTCAAACAGCAACGTGGAGTACCTCAAGGGGCGGTCCTATCTCCGCTGTTATTCAATGTGTTGATGAGCTCAATTCCCATTGAACGAGATATCACTGTCTACATTTATGCAGACGACATTGCATTTTTCGTTGCAGACAGTGACATTTATTCTTTGCATCAAAAATTGCAAAAGTACATGTATTCTCTTGAAATTTGGCTGCATTCAATTTCATTGTCTCTAAACATCAGTAAAAGTGCGCTCCTGGTGTTCCCTATAGCAGATTCTATTCAAATTTCAGTACTTTATAATCAGGAACCGATTCCACAAGTAGAGTCTATCAAATATTTGGGCATTATTTATAACGAGAAACTTAACTGGAGCCCTCACATAGACTATATCGTGGCAAAGGCACAACGAGCTTCAGGCTTATTGCGAAAGTTGAGCAACAGAAAATATGGGTTACGTAGACACACCTTATTAATGATATATAAAATGTACATGCGCCCAATACTCGAGTTTGGGTGTATATTATTTTCGGGTGGCCCTACGTACAAAATTAAACCGTTAGTTCTATTAGAGCGAGAAGCGTTACGGTTGTGTTTGCGACTCCCCAGGTATGTCGCTATTAATGTACTATATCAGGAAGCTCGCATACCAACTATTCTTTGCCGATTCCGTATCTTAACAGTACAAACATACTTGAAATTTTACGGCTTATCAGCGAGACGGTCTGCATATGCCTTTATTAGTGACCCCGACGCCTTCTTCCTCGCTCACTGGCCACGCTTTCGTACTCCCCAGATTATTTTTGTACAAAAGAAACTTGAAAGCATAAAGGTGGATATCAGATCGGTAATTGGAACCAAAGCATTAAATCACAATATTACGATAGAATGTGATGAAATTTTTCCCCCACTATCTAAGTTTCAATCTTCGAGTTACTTAAATGACAGGTTAGAAGACTACATAGCTCATGCGGAAATAAAGAACATAATAGCCACAGACGCTTCTGTGAATAAAGAAAAGGCAGCAGTAGGAATCGCCTCAGATTACCTCGGTTGGTCATTCTCGGTAAGACTACCAGACTTCACTCCGGTTTTCGAAGCTGAGCTCCTGGCTATTATTTTAGCGCTACGAAAACTTCCTTCAAACGAAGAGAGTGTAATGATAATTACTGATTCTCTTTCGCTGTGTACTACTCTCACAGCTTCAGAACAATCAAGAGCTCTAGCGACATTACAAACATTAGTTCCACCTCATGTGAAGTTCCTGAAGTTAGTCTGGGTCCCGGGACACTGTGGCATACGGTTGAATGAAATAGCCGATTCACTATCTCGAGCCACACTTGATGGCCCTGTGATCTCGGTACTACCAGAATCGGAACACATAGTGTCGATCAGATATAGAAAATGGGCTATTTATACGGATATTATGGAAAATATTACTAAATATACGGACTATCAGCACCTAACATACCCCTGGAAACCTCAGTGGAGTCAATCTAAAAAGTTAGAAGTTATTTTAACCAAATTTCGATGTCGTGTCCCTCCATTAAACTTTTACTTGCACAGAGCTGGTCTGGCGATATCCCCCTGTGTCCATTCTGTGAAGAAACGGAAACAATAGAGCATTACTTTATAACATGTAAAAACTATTCATTAATTAGGAAAAGACTTTTAATTGTTCCGTTTCAAGCAGTAGGTTTAAATTTAACTGCAGATAATGTTCTAAGTTTCGGTGCCTTTAGCTTGGGACATTGCCACAGGAGCGTATTCGATGCTGTATGCAATTTCATTCGAGAATCAAAGCGCATGTCATAATAATGCCTGCTTAAATATATTTCTGACGACACTTGTCTAATTTTGAATGAAATTTGTATATTCATTTGATTGTGACCGGGTGAGACAAGCTCGATTGTCTGGTCTACTCAAAATTTCTGCCTTCCACTGTAGTATTACCTCACCTTTTCTCTTCTTGATTCAATCTTCAATTATTTGTTTAGTTTAATATTCCTTTTTACTTAATTATTATTTTCTATTACATCATTAGTTTTTTTCATTAAGGATAAACCTTTTAATATATCTCATATAGGATACTTCTAGATTTCATGGCCAATCCCCCATAGTGGGTATGTGCCAGTGCGAAGGGGCAACAACAACAACGTATCCGGTGCGCATCTATGCACCGTGAGTGCCTGTCACGGTCGCCTAGGCAAACAACCACTCGGCAACAGCCTCAACGTGGATATCCTGCTCGTTCATAGGCAAAACCATGGCTGAGGACCTAGAGCGACGGCAGTCCAGGGAGATGGCCGTCGCCGACCCGCAGAGGCTGGACACGGGCCGCATCCGCTGGCTGAGCCGGGCCATGGAGGAGCTGCTGGTGAACCCGTACGAAGACATGCGGCGCAGCTTGCAGAACATCCGCGAGTGCCTGCTCGAGTCGCGCAACATCGGCCGCGTGCTCGTCGCCTGCATCGCCAACGTGCAGCAGTACATCGACGTGGTCGATTACGCCAAGGACTTCGAGAGGATGGGTGGCTTCCAGGTATGGACAGCTTGCGTTGACGTCACTGAAGCGACCATGTTAGAGTTCCAAAGGGGAAAAACGTTTATGTTGACAGTACTAACCACGCCAAATTCAACCAGGACAGCAGCAAGTGTTCGCGATAGTACAGTGTCGCTGTCCATTGCGTCTACGTCACGTGCGAGCCAGCAGTAATCTCTGACATTCTGTCACGCCAGTAGTAAACAAGCAATGCTCGAATGCATTAGGTGTGTGCAAGGTTCCTCTTCAGGAGAGGGGGGGGGGGCAAGGTTTATTGCAGCATCCTCCTCCACCTCTCTGTCCTGTCAGTGCGTGGGGGCTCATCTTCCGTGCCACAGCAAACCTTCCCTAATATGTCAACGTATAGGTCTGGCTTTGCCGCTCCCTCCCGCCTCTTAAGGTAACTATAAGGGGCGGGGAGGGGGGGCACCCGCCTTCCAACCTCCCCTCTACGTGCACGCCTATGGTCGAAAGCAGTTCAAGGTCCTCCTCAGTGGATCAGCCAGCAAGGTGGTTCGGCTGCTGTCCCGCAGGTCGCACGTTTGATCCTGACCGCGGCGGTGGCATTTCGATGGAGGCGAAATGGCAGAGGACTGTACACCCCGCATAATAAAAAATATTCCTAGAAAACAGTTCAAGGAATATCAGCGCCAGAATTCACATGATTGTTGTCTTTATGAGCAGATACCAAGCAGTAGGGGAAAATAGTCAAATATTTTGAGTCCTGCACGTCAAAATCTACAGCCGCCCACTTATGACAGATAGTGCCAACCAAGTCGGCACACAGCTACGTGCGTGAAGGTCTGTGTTCCTAGGAACATGTCCGCACTAGACTACTAACAACAATCTTCATAAGTCCGAGTTATCAACCTTCGATGACGCAGTTATTCGTGCATCTTTCGTGAACAATGGCGCGAAAAGAAGACGTAGTGTAAGCTGCAGTTCTTTTTCCGCTTTCTCGTTTTCGCGCGCGTGCGGGTGCAAGCGTGGTTGTTAAGTATACTCAGCAATGTTCCACTAGGTTCAACGACGGCCTTTTAATCAAATTTCTCCGGAACCGTTACATTGCACCAGGTGTTCCCCGATCTTCTCGACTACCCCAGCTCCTTGGTTCGCGTGGAGGCTTGCGCGCTGATCGCCGAGCTCGTGCAGAACAACCCGCACTGCCAGCGAGCGGCATTGCTGAGCGCACGCCGGCTGATGCGCTTGCTGGACTCCGACGCGGACGACGAGGTGCGCTGCAAGGCCCTGTACGCCCTGTCTTGCATGGTGCGGCAGAACAGGGACGGCTACGCAAACTTCGAGAAGCTCGGAGGTCCGGCCGTGTTGCGGAGGACCCTCTTCGAAACCTCCAACAGGTGAGATGAAGATTCAGATGTTTTACTTCCGACTTGGAGCTGTCTTGCATAGCAAAGCTAGATGCAGAACATTGTCTTCCTGACTGAGGCGTTGTCGCTCATACGTCGCATCTAATAGTGAGGCAGCACAGAATACAAGGGCGTATGTAAAGTTCGTGCAAGAGTTACAAATTTATTACATGTAAAGGAAGAACAAATAATAACAGTGCGACTTCTAAGAAATAACATTTTGACTGTGCTAATACAGTTTCAAACAGCACAAAGTGGTTAGAAACACAATTTGACATTGTAAATGTGACACACTGAACTATCAATATAGCATACACTATGATCCAAAAGGATACGTCCATTATAATAGACCTATCATTGAATTTAGTCAGTAATAAAGCAAGTACAGACTCGTGCCATATTTAAGGCGGCCAATTTAAAGAGGGCAGTATACTCAGTAGAAGTGGGACTGGATTGTCTGGCATTTGTTCTGCTGTGTGCAAGCGTTTGAAGCACATCTGTATTTGAACGTCTCGGGTGAGACATCTGGTTAATATTATTATACCGTAAAATCCCTACAAACCACCCCGCCCCATCCCTTACGGGGAAGATGATTCTAGAAGGTTCGGAGGAGTTGGGGGCATTGCTCGGGCAAAAAACAAAAATTAATATGGCAGCGGAAGGGCCGCTTGTGCTGCCAATGAAATGATTTAAGAGCAAACCTCATAAGCGCGAAAATGCATGCGACAGCGACGAGCGATGCTATGAGCAACGAAACAGGGCGTTCGCGCGACGTGTCGCGTGCTCGTTTTCGCGCGATGGCTCGGTTTTCCATATTTGGAAACCGTCGCTCATCGCCCGGAAGTGCTGGGCTCAAGCAGCCAATAGCGAAAAACCGGAAAAGACAAATACTACATAGGTGCACGTCACCCTGCCCGAGGCACGTATACGCAACAAGAAATAACACAATGTTTATGCATGTGCATATAAAAAAAGTGCTGCAAGGCAATAATAAACGCTTTTCGTTCCATTACACAACAATATATCTTATTTTTAAATTGCATGCCGCTCACTACGCGGTTTACTTGGTGAGAGTAGACGGCCTCATGCCAGCAATAGTGGAATTCACTCGCCGAAGCCGTCGCGTGAAAGAGGTTTGCCTGCGCTAGCGACCGATCGCGCGAAGACGATCTACGTCGCGTCGCTCGTCGCTGTCGCGTGCATTTCCGCGCTTATGAGGTTTGGCCCTTAGATGCTTGTGCTCCGATGAAGAAGCAACTCCATGATGCTGACAGCGCAAGTAATGAGGATGGCGTAGTATGTTTTCAAACCATCTCTACATTCGCTCCCGTGCAGCTCAGATGGTGCGCTCCTCGCTACTGGCCTACTACTGCGGCTGATCCATGCTGATCCGTCAGACAGGCTCGGCAAGAATTATCTCGGAGTGCCGTTCAATTTGAATGAAAAGGAACACGGTGGCGCGTGGCCTGCCCGCTCCGGCGGCTGCTGGCAGCGCGTTCAAGCGGAAGCGAGAGCCACCACAGTCTGTTTTCGCGTCACATCGCGGCGAGCAAAACAACCATTCGTTGCTGATATAGGATATGGCAAGATTGCAACACCTCCCCTTCAAGGCGATTACCGGCTCTCGCGTAATCACCTTGAAGGGGGAGGGGGCTGCAATCTTGCCGCTGGTTTCGTATCAGCAACGGATGGTTGTTTTGCTCGCTTCCACTTGAACGCGCCGCCAGCAGCTGCCGGAGCGGGCAGGCCACGCGCCAACGTGTACCCTTTCATGAAAATTGACACTGTTCGTCCGTCCGTCCTACATTTTCCTATGCGAGTTCACGGGTCGATCAACCTCCTACAGCCATCTTAAAATGCACGGCATGCTACCCATGGCATTGGGTAGCATGCCGTGCATGCTCATGGGCATTGCGCATTTCGCCTACGTTGAAATGCGGTCGCCATGCTTGACCGGCATTCAATGCCGTGGCATTGGCTCCGCAGTATAGCACCACTGGACTACTGTGGCGTATCTGTCCTTTAAAGAAAGTTACAGGGAGGCACTGGTTAGGTCATAGAACGTTCTTTTCGGGACAAGCACTTGCGCCCTTGCCTACCGACGCCTCTTTTCACAATGCTGTTGTGACCATGACTGTTTGCGGTCATCTGGTGAAGATTTTTCAAACATGTCTTAGGAAGTATGACAACGTGCACGGTTATTATTTGAGCGAATATCTGCAGCAACTTACACTGCCTATAAAAACGCTTATTTTGTGAATCACGTCAATGTAAAGTAATAGAACACACTAATTTTTCTAACATTCTATGTGTTTTCTGATGCTGGACTAGCATTGCGTGAACTTATCTTGAATATATTAAAAGTGGTAAAAGTTAGCACTGAAAATGACCATTTTGCCAAGCGATATGGTACACCACGTTGCTCGTGGGTGTCAGCGGATCTCTTAGTATCCCTTCTTAAGAAATATATTCAATATCGTAAAATAAAAAGGCAGCCATTCAACACCTGACTTGAAGAACGTTACCAGACTGCTTCAGCGCACTCAAACGGTGCCTTAAAGCAAGCGAAAAAAAATTTTGAACAGAAAATCGGCGCTTGCACAGGCGTCAAGCAGAAGTGGAATATAGTCAATGCTTTTTTATATCGTGATAACAAGACAACTGTCTTCAAGACTGTCGCTATCGACAACAAAATAGTACAAAATACCGAAGAGATAAGTACCGTATTGCCGCGAAGCGTTTAGTTGCTCGTTTTGTGCATGCCGGCCAGCAGCCTTATCTCTTTTGGTGATACGACACATGCGGCGATTCATCTGGCATGAACGCGGTGACGCGCACGCATCTGTTTCGGGGGGGCGTGTCTCGAGTGGTTGACGCTGCCTGGAAATTCAGCGTGCTATCTATCCCCCGACGGCCTCCGAACACATCATTCGCCCCCACCAATACCATTGTGTGCAGCTTTCTTTTAGTGGTGCGATTCCGCCTAATAAACGTGTTTTTTCCCATTATTAAAATCATCACAACCATCTTCCACGCCATGACTAATACGTGACATTATTTTGTAACTTATTTTTTTGTCTTTTGTCTCCGAGTGCTACAGCTGGAAAGGCAACTCTAATCTTGCTTCCTGCGTCCTTGCACAACTGAAGAAGTGCTGATGCTCATTAAACATCTAAAAATAGAGGAGCTGGCCTTTACAGTTAACATATACTCAATACATAATAAATCAGTCAAACACGTTACGGCTGAAGCTATCTGCCATAAAGTCAACTTGACCTTTGAGATAAGAATTTTTCCCAGACAACTCACGGTCGCTAAAGTAGTTCCTACACTAAAGAAGGGCGATCCGACGTTAGTTAAAAACTGCAGGCTAAATTATACACTCCCATATTATAGCAAAATAGTAGAAAAGTTAATCCAAGTTTGCTATGCCTAGCTACTTCGTAAAACTTAACATACTGTTCTCGTCACAGTTTGGGTGCAGGTCTTTCAACAGAACACGCTGGCATTATTTTTTATTGCGGGATCCGAACGAATTTCTACAGGAGACTATTAAGCGGCTCAATGCTCATTTATTTAAAAAAAACGCCTTTGACAATAGTAACCATCAAGTTTCTGTTGTCTAAGTTAGTTCCGGTAATATTGGTCCGTTTTCAGCAAGTTATAAGATTCTCTTTCAAACTAATGTGAAAGTGTCTTTACCAATTCCACCTTTTCTCAACATAATCGGATCACCAAAGCTGTACCGCATGGATCAATTTTTGGTCCGCTCTTATTTTTGACGTTTTTATACCGACCTGCCGAATTACTTATCTTGTGCTATGTATTTTGTGTACGCCGACGACACGACGATCATAGTTCTTTCCTCTGAACGACCCTGAGCTTTTAGATAAGGTAAACTACACAGTAGCTTGAAGACTGGTGTCTTGAAAGTTGTATAAGTATAAACCCTGTAAACTCTCAGCTCATAGCTTTCCATTCTCCTCATAAATTAGTGACATCTGCCTGCATTAGTGACACGCGGATAAGCAATGTTGAAATTAAACGAATAAGTTCTGTGAATTTCCTGGGTGTCATTGTAGATTTCCATCTGAAGTTCAACACACATGTCGATTCGGTAGTTTAAAATTGGCTTGGTCATAAGGACATTAATTAAAACGCGTTCAAGCTTCTCCAGTCAAAGACTTCTCTCAATTTACTATGCGTTTATCTACGCACGAATCTCATATTGTGTTACCACTGGAGTAAAATTTCTTTTTTATATCCACATCTCTTGTTTGGTTAGAATCCTAGGAGCACGCGCTCAAAGTGTTCACCTTCTCACCCCTGTTTCATCGTCGAAGCCGCTATTTCTAGAATTGAATATATATCCTGTTTCTACATACAAAGCTAGCCTCATGGTCTTGCTGCATAAAGTCATGAACCACCAAGTTTCGCTTGCCTCCCTTTCAATCCGTCGATTCATAAATAAGAATAAGAACAGGTTTTCTATGCGAAACAATTTTTCGCTACCCAAAGTCGCGATGAACTATGGCAAGCAAAGTGCCTGTTTCATCACAATTTCCTTTGGGAATGCTCTCAACCGTGAACTACAAACGTTATCATTACAAAAGTTTCAATCATCTTTGAAACATGCCTGCTCTTATCGATTATTCATTTTTTAGCATATCACTCCGTTTCTGCATTCTGTTTATCCATGTTATGCCTTGTGTCTTTTTTTGTTTATCGCAATTTAATTATTCAAACGATTGTTTATATATATATGAAGGATGGTTCGGTGCGATTCTGCGTCGATTATCGAGCACTTAATAAGATCACGCGCAAAGACGTTTAGCCGATGCCACGAGTCGACGACGCACTTGACTCTCTGCAAGGCGCTGAATTTTTCTCCAGCCTCGATTTACGGTCTGGTTATTGGCAAATACTTATCCACGAAGCGGACGAAGAAAAAACTGCCTTTGCAACACCATGCGGGCTGTACGAATTCAACG